AATGGTGGCGGGTGCGAGTTTCATACAATGATCTTTAAACCATCGCTAGCTGACTGACTTTAATCACTAAAACATCCACCCAATGTGTAAATGGTCGTTCTAGAGAACACCTGCATCCGCGTGGAGTGCATTCTACAGTTCTTTTCGTACATTTATCACCTCTTTTCCCTGCTGTGTTATCGGCTCATCTGTATCTCACTATCAAAATGTATTCTCCTCCTAGGTCTTGAAGATAAGATAGATTTCGAAGATCAGAGTTTCGCATCATGGCTGATGCCACGTATGCTAGACATGTTTCAGAAAACACCGTTCAAGCAGTGTGGGTGGTGCGCAGATTTCTTGACGTGGCTGAAGTATCTATTCACGTCTCTGATGAATAGGAGACCGCTGGGGACGACTGTTCAATCGAAATTCTGAGTACGGACTTTTGAATTTTTTAGTTGGTTGGCGGCTTCTTTGAGAGGACCGAATGCGGCCGATGCTGCCCTCCTTCCTCGGTCTAATTCTTTCTTTATATTGTTCTCCATGTTCACTGAGTGCTCAAGAACGCGTATGCGGTGGTGTAATCGGATAACCATCCAGTTCGATTTGCTGACCTTCACATCAGAGGTGCTTCATAAACTGGGTTTTTGTTCTATTTATGCGCAGACCAATCTTTTTTTCCACTCTGCTGAGCTCACTGATCTTAATCTCTGCTTTTTTGGCACTTCTTGAGAAGATTACGGTGTTGTCGGTTAAACGAAGATTGGAGAGGAATTCGTATGCCTTTCTCATCCTAATCGAGCTACTTCACTACCTACTGCAATGAGGCAGTAAACAACTTTGGCAATGTGGTTTTGATTGTCGGACCCCCTTTCCCTATGAGTATGGTAAGAGGTCAATGGAAAAGCCATATTTTCGTGGTGCATTTCCGATAACAGTCAAATAGAGTTCTGATGTAAAATGGGCCCGCCTCTTGGTTGAGGAGCACGTATAGCATTCGACACTGTCGAACGCTTGCTCTTTTGGGGCGGGCAAAGGTCACGACGAATCTGCTTCATCTTACATAACCAAAAATCACATTTCATTCCATTCGATTTGGTTCGCCGCATCCAGTACCCAATATACTAACGTCTTCGAATTTTACGTGCAGTATGAATTTTGTTGAGATTTGGTTGAGTCGATTTTCTTTAAAATAGCTGTCCAAGAGATGAGTTCGTTGATCTTGTCAAATAAGCAGTGCTCTCCGGGTAAATCCGATACCAAATCTTCGAAACCACAGAAGTAGGAGACTTGATTGGCTTGGGGTGGGATGGAAACAAAGCTTCGCGCATGCCAAACAGCAACACTGCTACTGCGCTATAGTGAACCTGCTTTTGAAGCAATATATTGTAAAACTTCATATCACATTTGATCATAAAAGGCGCTGGTGCTGTAAGCGAAGATTTCCCTACTGTAGAATTTTGGTGGCATACTTGACGATGATGTGGAATGATCATTCAGACGCTCCCGATAAGTAAAATTGAAACGATCAAATCTCATATATCACTAATCGATAAAAATCAATCACATATTCAGTCAGAAATCGCTCTTTCACGTTATTTTCGATATTCTTTTGAAATGCATGAGTTCTCTTCTGAGAATGCTACTATATTATACAATTGCTTAAACAGCTAGCTGCCTTTAATATGTATCACTCTTTTAGTGAGTGACTATTAGTTTTCCTTAAACTAATGTCGGATTTTAACCTGGATTTCCAAAGTGGCATATCTCAGCTAAGAATAAACATTGCTAATCAAAATTAAAACCACTATAAACTATGCATTTCTGCCAATGAGAAAGGTGTTTGTTCATAGGAGATGGACATAATTCTGAACCTTCGGAGGAGACGAAGTCGCCGAAGGTAGTTTCGGCAATGGCATAATTTCTGAAGCATTTCTCGCACAAGAAATATTCGAGATTCTTGGTAAAGGGGTTATCGGTAGTAAGATCCGAGCGAGTATAGTGCATGAGGCAGGGTTTCTTAGCAGGGATTGTTTAACTTCTGCAGCGCCGGTAGTACGATGTATGGCCAGAGAAGGATTGAGCTCTTCTGTTGACCATTGGGGAAGTTTATAGTGACTTTCGTAGATTTCCTGAGAATATACTTATTTATCATGACCGTTTCACCAAGATTAAGGAAACGGCGATAGAGTAAACCGTCCGCAGACAATCAGAGGGTTATGATAGCTTTCTTTTCACGCAATGTCAAATTTGGAAAGTCTTGTGGAGGTATTTCAAGATATAACCGCTAAGCCGATTGTCATCGGTTATCAATGAGGATCCATTTCTTTTCATACAGCACAGTACGGTCGAGAAACGTGTCGTTTTGGTTGGACAAAAGATGCACCGATGATACCTCATAACGGAGATTTCTTTACTTATCATTCAATTCGTGTGGTATCCATTTGTCGAGATTTTTCCACCTTGCAATGTTCTTCATAAGCTTAAAAAAAATTAAAGTGCTTACAATCTCTTCTTCTGTAAGTTCCCGACCAGTTTTGCACATTTTACTTCTACCAAACCCTTTAATTTTTCAGTGGTTGAAGGGCATTCGCGAACTCATGCTCAACGTCGAAGTCTCCACGAAGAAATTTTCGAAACCAACGTTACACTGTATGTTCATTAACACCCCCTTAACTTTTGACAGCTGAAACCCGAGCGATTGGAATTTATCATAAACAAAATCCATAAAAAGAAGCTCTCGGCGTTGACCAATTCCTGAGGGATGCACCATGCATTCCATTTCATCAAGCATCGTTTGGAGGCGATTGAATGCATATCTGGCCTTTACAATAATTCGCGGTGGCTCAGCAATGTATCGACCCAGTGCTGTTATCCATCTAGACAAGTTTGGTACGAATTTTCTGACCCCGGGGGGATGGAAGGCTTGGTGGGCCATGCTACCGGGAATCGATTCCACTTGTGTGTTGCAGGGCGCCTACGACCACAACGCCACACGCGCCCTACACAATCCGTATTATAATTGAGTTAGATAGCATGAAAGTAAATAAAATGCGCTTTTAAATAATATATAATAAGACGGAATTTGTCTTAAAATCTTTTCCTGAAACCCATGAGGGAAAAACGAAATTACAAATCGAACGTTAATTTCCGAGCAACCAAATATCACAAAATCAACTAATTTTATTCCGATTGGTGCTTGCGCTAGCACATCATCTTGCGATGACAACGGCTGTAGAGTATAGAAATTCAGATCTACGGGAGCATTTGCTGTTGTTTCCTACATAAGAAGACAGCGGAGGCGTTCACTTCCCTGTTTTAAAATCAACAGATGCAGTTCGGATACTAACGCTAACACAAAATAAGCGCCTTCACTTCGTCCGTTCACAAGTTATCGCTAACTATCGACTAGAATAAGTTCCACATAATGCTTATCGAACAATCGTCTACAGCGCATATATCGCATTGCCAAACGTTAGAGGACAAGGGTTAGGTATTCGGCGTTGATCAATCCCTGAAGGGTGCATCAAGTATTCGAGTCATGACGAATAGAAATCTCGTCGTCATTTTTGTACAATGACAGTTGTTCCCTAGAAAGACTATCTAAAGTATAGACGTCGAATTTGATGGAGAAAGTCAAACGTGCATCGTCAAACGCTGACTTGTTGACGAATGGAACAGTTCAGGCAAATCAACGATCATCGGATATTTCCTGTTTGTTTTCACAAATGCTGAATACTAACAGCAGCTTCTCAAAAACAACTTCCTCTGCTGCCCTATGGAGACACTCAAGTGAACTACCACCACCTGAAGAATGCTCAATTTTAGCATTCAATATTGGGTGAGAAAGGATAAGCAGAAGGACTCCAATGTGACAGTGGCTATTGTATAAAAAGCCGGCATCAAATTTTCCATTAACTGACGATGTTGTTGGGTGTCTCTATTAAGGAAGCATCAGACAAATGTTGGTGTACAAACTTTTGAAATGTCTTATTAATCTTAACTCTTTTATTTACTACCTTTTCCTTCTTAATGGCAGGGTATGTTGTGAAATATAACTCGTATGAAGTGCTGAGATATTTGCAAAACTCCGGACCACAGGTGTATGCAGNAAAACTCCGGACCACAGGTGTATGCAGTGGGAAACGAACACGCGCTGTTGTCCTTACCGGGGAGCAGCGCGTGTTCGTTCCCCGCTGCATACACCTGTGGTCCGGAGTTTTGCAAATATCTCAGCACTTCATACGTGTCTTATTAATATAAAAATTGGGAGTACCTACAACCAAGGAAACTACTGAGGTTCTGAAATCATTTCTCCAATCCGGATTTTGCTGGCGATTTTTGATAACTGATTGTTCACATAACTGAGAAGACCTTAGGAAATGGAGTCAGTGGAAATAATCAAAACTCATAGCTAAGAAGATTACGGAAATGAATATCATCTTTCACTGGTTGTTAAAGGATAACTGGTTAAGTGTTCGGCGTTGAGGAATCACTGATGGATGGTGCACTGGATTCATTTGAAGCACCTTGGAAGCAGTGGGAAGCATATTTGTCCTATGATGTGACTTAGAGACCTACCGACGTCGGTATTCCAAGCTCGTGGTTGCAGTGTCTTCGTTAGCTGAACGTAGAGTCGAACCAATAAACTTGGGTGTGTTGTACAGCATCTCTAACCACAGCGCTGCACGCTTCCCTTATTTATCATTACATAATCATCTCCGAAATAACACATGAGAATCGTAACAATAAAATAATTTGAATGAATAGGAAGTTTGGATATTCAAATAGAGTCGAGTTTTATGACGCATAAAAAATTATTGCCAACAAATTGCTCAGAAGTCACAACTACGATCGAAGGGAATTTGAATCGACGACTTCACGGTTAACAATGAATTTCTTTTCAGACGTAGTAAACGTCAACTTGCTTTGCCATCCATTATGTTCATCAATCAACAAGCCATCATTAAAAGATGTTTTAGTAGCTGAACAACTTCATGATGACGAAGTGAACGTACCTTTTCGACTGATGTAAAGCGGTGGTGGGCTTTTCGTTTTGTAGAATGGTGGGCCTCGTGAATAGAATTCGCTCATGTCTGGATCTTGGATTGCTGGATTCAACGATGAGCTTGAAGAAGCAAATATATGTTAACTATCGAGAAAACCAACTGCGAATGATGTTCGTATATGACGTAATTAAAACAGATTTTGATTGAGTGTGCAGAAATCATAGTGGCTGGCTAACCGTTCTATCTCCAACTGCTCTCCATTCTCTTCCTTGGAACGAAACTAATGTCCTATTCATAAACGTCAAAAAATTAGGAAAAACTTTAGCCTTAACTCTTTTATTTACTGCCTTTTTCTTTTTAATGGCAGGTTATGTTTCGAATTATAACTCGTATGAATTGCTGAGATATTTGCAAAACTCCGGACCACAGGTGTATGCAGTGGGAAACGAACACGCACTGTTGTCCTTACCGGGGAGCAGCGCACTTCACCACTACACCATTTAAAAACTTTAGTGGTTCAAAGCATTACCTGAAACTCCGAACCTCAAGTCATAAGCCAATTTTTGATCAATAATAGGTGATAAGCCAATTTTCTTTCAAACACGAAACTTCAATAAATATAATACCAGAGAATCCAAAGATTTTTGAAAGGCCAAAATCACTCCCGAAACTTTTCAAATCAGCATCAAACTTATATTTCGGCAATAAGAGATATAACGTATAACGGAAATACTGAAGTTTAATCCCTCCCCTAATGAACAAATGAACTCAACGCATTCTTTTCCTGGATATATTTCAAATTTTCCCAATATACATTGTATTTGCATACGGTAATCCTGTGCAATGTTTTTTGGAAAGAAAGACATTTCATACCTAGATTTGTTAAGATAGAGGCAAGCATCTCTTTACTTAGAGGAAGTTTTCGTCATAAAAACACACCTGAATATCTCTGGTAGTTCATTCTCCAAGTCGATAGACGTGTATCTCATGCCTCTTGGCAAATCAGATACAGAAGTGCCTGTTGTTGAAATGCTACATCTTGGCGACGTGAACGTTGGTTCGGTAGCTGACTGATCCTGTTTCACCGGCAACGACAAACTTTTCTTATTCGCCGTCTTCTTAATTGCCGGTAACGAATCCGATCGGTGCGCATGTGACGGGATGTGCGACGACGAGTTCCTCGACAAGTTCGACCGATGTGCCGATTTCATCGACGACGTGGTACTTCGCGGTGATTCGGCGGCGGTGGTTGTTGTGTCTCTCGCTTTTGCCGATTTCGAAGACCTCCTAGAAGAGCGAGAACTGTCCGATGGAGGTGGCGAGTTTATTTCAGGTGGATTGCTGGCTGCATGATGTGCATGATGTGATTGGAACTTCGGTGGAGGCTGATCGAAAACGGGTACGTCAGACTCGTTGGTATCCGTCATTCTGAACAAGACACGATCAAGAACAGCATAAGCGATAGTTTCGGCTCCACCCAGTTTCAGAACACAACCGAAATCGATTTTTCAGGCTAATTGGAGCTGAAGAACACCATTCACAAGTGCAGAGTAAAAGTATAGAGCAAAGAGAGTTGAATACATCTATTCGAAGGACCTGTTATAAGTGTTAGAATGTAAATTTACTATTCTAAATGTTCTTATATTTACACTTTATACACAATTTTATTAGTGATAGGACGCTCGTAGCGCAGTGGTTATTGGTGCCCTGCAATACATACGTGATCCTTGCTTCGATTCTCTCGTTCTTACTAAATCTTCTACCTCTCCGAGGAAGACCAATTGGCACCAGATTTTTCTGGGAGCATTGCCGCACCGAGTTAATACATTAGTTGGCAACCGCAAGTAATTGTAATGGCCAGATATGGATTCAATCGCCTCTACGATGCTATGGATGGAGTCGGAGGCATGGCACATCCATGAGGAACTGATCAAAGTCGAGAACTTTTCCATTAATCCATAGACAATTTTACCACTGTTCCCATCATTTTGCATTCATTCATCGAATATAAAATGGTGCACAAGTCACGGAAGTCTGCTTGGAAATTTTGGTTAAAGACGCTACAGTATTCAAGTGTTCTCTTTATTGCAAGATGGTCAAGCAACACAACCCAAACGGTAAAAGAATGAAAGACTTGAGAACTACGATTTGAAAGAATTTTTTAGAAATTTTTTGCGCTTAGCGATTGCTAACGCTGAAAACAGCTCCCTTCATCGAATAAAAAAGGGTAAAAGACGAGGAATGTTCTGAAAAATTTGGTTTACATAGGCAACAGATTGCATACTTGAAAGGTGAAGGTGAAACGCCATCAAATATTTTCTTACTGCAAACCCGAATGCCTAATTGCCCTAATTATGAAGTTTCTGATCGGAGAAGAACATCCCACCTAGAAAACACTTTCCAACTTGACCACAAAAGGTAGAGCTTTCAGTTATGAATTCGTCATTTTCTCTCTCAGCAAATTTCTTCCCACCCTTCAAACACAAAGAGGGCCCTTGTGAGAAACATGTTTCGAACAGCCACCTCTTTGTGCACAAGTAGGGAATTAAAGGAAGAATCGCGCGACTTGGCTCGCAAATAGCCGTCTCCAATGGCTACGAAATTGTAACTCAACGAGATAAGTTTCAAAGGAGAGTGGCGCCCCAAATCTAACGGTTTGGTCGAAACAAAGTCCCGTTTATCTTGCCCTTCATTAGCAATGAAGTAAGTGTAGCGATGAAGTGATGCTTAAGAAGGCTAGATATGCTAAAGATCGATAAAGATATGATAAACGTATGCTGTTTAACAACCTTGCGATTGCTGAGAAAGAAAACGACGCATTTATAATCCAATGCCGAGGTTAATAGAAAGTCGATCCAGAGCTTTCAATGTTAATCAATCATTGACGGATGCGTCATGAACTCGATTTCATCACGTATCGTAGCGGTGATTGAAAGCATATCTGGTCCATACAATGACTCGCCTCCCGTGCACGTCTAGTACCAATATCTTGTCTACGGGGGAAGCCCGGGGTGTGGGGTGAATCAGGGATGATCCAGTGTGTATTGCGGGGAAAATCTAACCACTGCGTTACACGCACCAAGAATAGACAGGATGTAGACGTCAAAACTTGATTCGATTACAAAATCAGATCCGTTTCTGCAATTCAGAAGCAATACAAATAAGAATTAACAGGAACATAGAAATAAATATATCGATTACTTATGCCGATTTATAGGAAGTCGGTGTTTTGAGTTATTAACATAGAACAACCGTTCGATGACACTAACCAACACGAATTGTATTTGATTACCTTCAAACTCAACTCTTTATTGCCGCATTGGTACCGTTGGACAGCTTCTGATCTTTCTAAACTCACTTAAGGAGACAGAGTGTGTCATCAGCAAGTTTTAAGTCGAATCGACGCCAATTTTGTTCAGTAGTGTTACGCACATAATCCAAATACTTAATAGCTAACTACAGAAGTACTATGCTTTTAATAACGTAATACTTCCTGGCACTCTCTCGGGCCCACAAAACTTCCTATCGCTTCGGAGTAGGGATATTGCTAACGGACTCGTCTGGTAGAGGTAGGCTTCCTAAAGTCCACAAAAAATAGCGCCTGCCTGTTACTAAGATCTGGGAACGCCTTTGTACGAATATGAGGAAGAATCGACTCGACCAGTCTTGAAGGACTTTTATGAAGAAGATCAAAACCTAAAGCCGCAAATCAAAGGATTTTCATGGATGACAGAGGCGAGGAAACCAACTAAATGCAAGGAGAGTGGTTGGAACCGAACGACATGTGATGTCGTGTTATGTGAAATTTCAACTACAAAAATCCGCCTTGCTGTAGTTCTTTACAACCTCCCAACGGTTTGCCGCCTCATTGTAGCCGGGAGGTGTTCCTGGGTGTTGGACTGCGATGTACAGCGAAAGGACCAGCGTTTTCATTAGGAAGCCTAGCTAAGAGTAAACCAGTACCAGGATCCACCGCCGCTCTGGTATTAAAGTCGCATGGTGGAAAATCTCTCTCTGACCCACAAGAGCTGCGACTGTCTGTGGTAGTGAAGACCTGGAGCAGACTTTGGCCAGGCTGACTTCGCGATTTCAGAGAACCACAATGGCTTAACCAGCAAATCCCCAAAAAGTGGTGATTATGCTAGGGTTCGCACAACCAGTGAGGGTGAATCGTTCAAGTATCAAGAAAAGATTCGGTATGATATTAAGAGCAAGTTAAGGAAAAAGTTTAAAGATCTACCACGCCGCTCAAAAAGGTTAAATCAAAGGACCACCGCTGGTCAAGTTCTAAGTAAAAACCCTGAAATAGACTGCGCACCAAGAACATCCAGAGCTACTGTGCTAGGAAGTATAACGCTTCCGGAAAATGTGCGTTTTTGCACCTAGTCGACCCATTTCTAAACCAATCCTGCGCAGTATCACATGTAATCTACATGAACTTCAAGATCATTAGTACCAAGGGGGGAACTACCACCAATACCCTTTCCCCGAACTTTCTTTAAACAAGAGCTTCTAAACAGCGATATTGACTCTACATTTCGTTTATTTTCGGACGAAATTCTCCGCACACGTAATCACTACCAAAAACGAAAAAGAAGCTCCAACCTCACACACCAACAAAAATGTGGTATACGCCAGGTTAGAGAGCTCTTGAATTCAAAATCTGTTAGATTCTCTATAAGTGGTAAAGGTGGAGAATTTGTAGTCAGCCCTAATCAGTTGGATATTAGGATAACAGAGAAGCACCTCAGTGACGTTTCTCTGTATCGAACATCCTCTGAAAAGGAATACAGAAATCAATACCGAAAATTAAATGAAGAATGGGTCAGCACGGCAAAGGCCGCGGTTTGGAGCCTTCAGTTATTTTTCGACTTGAGGACGAACACCCGATTTGCCCTGTCCTTTACTTGCTTATTAAAACACATAAGCTTACTTCAACTGATGATATTACATCAACGAACCCATCATCATATAAAGTTATACCTATCATCAGTTGTATAGGCGGGCTAACGGATAGAATAACGTGGTTGCTAAACCTTATCCTAACCCAGCTGCTAAAATTCATTCCAACCCATCTACCTAACACCAAAATACTTCTAGATCACCTAAGGCGCGCGCAACCAAACAGCACGCATATAATGGAGTCATTCGATGTTAGTTCACTTTATACCAACGTGTCCAATGACTACGCAAAGCAAGCCATTCTCGCGTTGCTCGTAGAGCATGAAAAGAAAATAAAAATGCACGGCTTGTCGATTGCGCAACTAATGACTCTCTTAAAACAGTGTCTTAGTTGTTCAATCTTTAGGTGGTCTGGAAAATATTTTGCACAAATTAGAGGGTTGGCGATGGGGCAGCGTTTAGCACCAAGCCTTGCCATCGCTTCCATGTCTAAGGTGGAAGCTCCAGTTCTCGATCACCGACCCATACTCCACTGTCGATACCTAGACGACTGCTTCATCGTCTGTTCCACACAAGAACAAATGGACGAGTGCTTTGAATTATTAAACCGACAGTTAGAGTATATAAAATTTACACGAGAAAAACCTACCGAGAACTGGCTTCCATTCTTAAACATCCAAATAAAGCTCTCAGTAAGTGCCTACATAACAAAATGGCATCGCAAGCCAAGTAGTAAAAACATTCTAGTTCACTGCCTCTCCTCTCATCCTTCACACATAAAAAAAGCACTTGTCAAAAACAGGTACCGTACGGCTAAAAATGTGTGTACAGAAGAGGAAAGGAAGAAATTGCGAAACCTGGCACGAAAAATTGTCATTTCCAATGGCTACGAAGTAGAAGTCACTCGGGTTAGAGCAAAACGTTGGGTAGTTTCCCAAAATAATATTTCAGACGTAAGTAAGATCCCCTTTAAGCTACCCTTGATATCAAATGAAGTAAACCACGCCATTAAAAAGTGCTTAAGAAAAAGTGGTCTTGAAAATTATGTAACGACTATTAACATCCCACCCAATACCCTACGCTGCCAGTTAGTTCGAAACCGTCTCTATGATCGTTTGTGCAGCTCAGAAAACTGTATGATCTGTCCTAACGGGAGAGACGGGATTGCATGAGTTTAGGGATAATATACTTGATCTCATGTAACACATGCGGCGAGGAATATATTGCGGAAACGGGTAGACCACTTTGTGTCCGCATAAAAGAACATCTTGATGGAAAAGCTAAAATCCGTCTAAACACTCCACTAGGTACGCATAAGGTACAAAAGCACAACGGCGACGATTTTGAAGTGAATGTGCGGATCCTAGCCCAGGAATCAGAAACATCAACGGGCAAAACTCTTGAGGCGTTTTGAATAAATTTCAAAAATTCAAAGATGAACCGGAAGGTCGAATGCCTCACTACCACGCGTGACCTGGCGCCCTATTTCAAAATGATATTTTGATCCCTGGGTGTGCCTCGCTCG